AAATGTTCTGCATGTATCCCAATAATTAGGAATAACTATTATTTATTATTTATTTATTTCTTGCACTTATTGACCGCCACTCTCAGCCCTAGGGGCGACTCGTGGCGGTGAACAACAACATATAAAGACAATGTCTCATCTGGGCACTTTTCAAAGAAGCCTAGCAGCAGAGTTGTCTCACCCAGTACTTTCAAAGTAAGTACTGCATAATCAAACAGAAAATAACACTTTCTTTAAAAAAAATTAAATTATTTATTTATTTATTCAAATAGACATACATTTGCAAGTGTTTGTTCCATCTATTAGTGTTCCATAATCATTTCTCAGATAATATATTTCTACTATTTAATTAATACATGTTAAAGTATCATCGACTCTTGCTTAACATCCGCTTCCTTCTTATCTAGTCTTATAGGATCCTCTACATACATTTTTAGTTTAATTTTACATTGAATCATTGGTTGCCATTCTTTAACAAAGTTATTTAATAGTTTGTTTATTTATTTATTTAAAACATTTATATTCCGCCCTTCTCACCCCAAAGGGGACACAGGGCAGAGCACAGCATATACACAGCAAACATTCAATTCACATACAATACATAAACATTAAAAACATTTGTCAAAATATTAAAATACACCATTTAAAACCATTCTAGTCATCCGCGTCAAATCATAGGCCTGGTCATCTTTCCTATTGCCGCTTTATTACCCTGTCCAGAAAGCTTGGTCCCACAGCCAAGTTTTTACCATCCTTTTAAAGGACAGGAGGGAGTGGGGCGACCTGATCTCATCAGGAAGGGAGTTCCATAGCCTGGGAGCAATCACCGAGAAGGCCCTGTATCTCGTCCCCACCAATTGCGCCTGTGACAATGGCGGGACGGAAAGCAGGGCCTCCCCGGAGGATCTTAATCTCCACAATGGTTCATAGGGGGAGATGCGTTGGGACAGGTAATTTGGGCCGGGGCCATTCTCTTAATAATACAATTATTTTATCCATTATCAGCATATCTTAATATATTTTTCCCATTCTTCTAAAGGAGGTATCTTTGGGGTTTTCCAATATCTGACTTATACAATTCGAGCTGCTAGCCATGTAAAATAATTTTTTTCCAAATTTTCTATCCAATTCTTTGTTGGGCATATTCAAAAGGTACATTTGCAGTGTCATTTTGAAATTTGTGTTTAACATTTTTTAAAAGATATTTATTTATTTATTTATTTATTTATTTACTCAGGCGACTCAAAGATATTCATGGATCTGTGCATTTATTTAAATGCAAGTGCATTTTATAAACATTTTCTTTTTGGGTTTTTTTTTCAATTCTTGGTTTACTCCTTTTTATATATTTTTATTTTCGATTTTTCAAATAGAATACAGTGAAAGAGGGGAACAATGCACAGTTTAAGGTAGACAAGAAAGGATAGTCCGGGGTGAGAGGGGGGGACCAACAAGAGGGGGGCAGGGGGGGAGGAGGGGGTAGGGTTAAAGGGGACGGGGAAGGTGTTGACTTCCGGTTCAGGTCGCAAGGAGTAATACCTTTTGTCCATTATTTTTCCTCTTATATCTTTTATCATCATTTTTTTTCCTTCTATATTGGTTGCTATATCTTACATCTCTATAACTGGATTTGCATTTCTTCCTGCATGAACCTTTTTAGAGGTTCCCAGTCTATTTGTTTGTTCCTTACTTTGTTGCTTAGCTTTTGTGATAAGTTTTCCATATTCATGTAGTCGAAGATTTTGTTTATCCATTCTTCAATATGTGGAGAGATTTTTTCCTTCCATTTTTGTGCAATTGTTGTTCTAGCTGCAGCTGTTATGTAAAAGAGGATTCTCTCTTCATTTTCAGTGAAGTTCAGCTCTGATATGTTTAAGAGGTAAAGTTCTGGCTTCATTTCAAATTTCACATTAATGATTTGTTGAGTGTATTTATGTATTGTTAACCAAAATTTCTTAATTAATTTGCACCCCCACCACATGTGGAAGTGGATGCCTAGTTCTTTTTCGCATCTCCAGCATCTATTGCTGTAGTTTTTGTTGAATTTAGATAGACGTGAAGGTGTCCAATACCATCTAAATAAATCTTGTACCAGCCCTCAACTATACTTGATGCTTTTGTGAATTTTAGTTTCCTTTTCCATACTGTTTCCCAGTCTTTCAATAGGATTGAATGGCCTGTATCAAAGGCCCAGCTTGTCATATTCTCCTTAACTCTGTCTTTTTCCAAATCCCACTCTAACAGGGTATGATAAAGTAGTCTTATTAGTTTCTTATCTTTTTTCAATACTCTATCCCAGTTCGATTCCTTGGATGTGAACCCTACTTTTCGATCTTCTTTGAAACATTCCTTGGTTTGCCAATAATGAAACCAACTCATCTTGCTATCGAATTTCCTTATTTCTTCTAGGATTTTCTTTTCGGTTTTGACATGCATTGTATTTCATTCTTCTCTTCCATGTCTTTTCCCACTGGGACATTTTTATCTCTTGGCCAAAACACAGAAAATAACACTTTCAAACCAGGAACAGATTTTATTTCCTCAATTTTTGTTACATAGATTCAGAAATGTCAGTGTAGATAGGGCCTTAAAGGCGAAAACTAATAAGATACTCATGCAGGCACAGAAGTCATTCTTGTCCAATGAGGTGTCAAAGGGGTTGTTTTAGGATGTTGAAATTGTCATTTTGGGCGGTATGTTTCTTTCAGCCTCGGGGTATTCCTGTTAGGATCCATTGTTGCTTCTTTCTCAATCCACAGTCTAGTGTGCGTGTGAGTGCAGCTTGTCCAGTTTCACAGAGAACAGGCTGTGGATGTCCCTGGCTCCAAATGCACGAAGCAGAAGCTGTGGCATTTCCTGATTTTTCCTTGCTGCCAAATAGTTTGTTTATGTCATATTTTGGCACTAAGGAAGAAGTGGGAGTTGACTGTGTGATTATTATCGTAGCTCTCTTAAGTTCTCCAAATGAACAAAAAATGCACCAGACGAAGTTGGAGGAGTCTGCACTACATTGTCATATTTCACAGAGCTGCTTTCTTCTTGGAATTTGAAATGAGCAGCAGCTCTCCCCACCTCCCATTGCTTACCTAGGTGTAAATTTCCCTAACTCTCTCTGTTATGATGATTTTTATTAAAGCAAAGCAGTGCACAGGAGACAAATTGAGAAATGCCCAATTCCATCATGCACACATGTGTGCTGCTTTGTCAAACCTAGAGTTTTCTCCATGGGACAACTCTAGCTTTTTGCGCTTTGCCTGAGTAAAATCCCATTGGTGTTTGCACAAGAGTACTTTGGCAGCCTTAGAGATAAATTGCAACATAGAGAAAGAATCTGAAATAAGAAGTCAAATCACTTACAGACAATAATCTAATCTTGGCATGACTGTAGCAAAAGCAAAGGAGAATGAAACTCATGATTCTGAAAAAATGTACATGAATATCACAGTCCTGGGAAAGGCAAAGCAATACAATGGTCACAGCAAAATCTCCATTACTTCTAAAGACTTTTCACACTGCCTTGTGCACTTAGCAAACCCCTATCTCTTCCCCCCACCTCCAGTTTCTGGTGTGCGAAAACTACATTCAACTAACAGAATAAGAAGTAATTTAGTGAGATGCTTAAATGGACACTACTTTGTCTGATTTCTCTCTTGTAGCCTATTCAAACCATTCAAACTTTATCTTCATTTAGATTGAATCGTCAAAACTACCTGGAAATAGTTCTCTTGGGTGACAGGAGAGTGTGATGATTCCCATATTCATGTGTAAAATGCCAAAGAATTTGATCACAACAAATTCCATTTCTTTCAAAGCCACTAACGCTTCGCAAGGTTTTTTTAGACTATTATTATTTGTATTATTATTATTAACCTTTATTTATACCCCGCTAACATCTTCCGAAGGACTCGGTACGGCTTACAAGAGGCCAAGGCCCAACACATCAATAAAACAAGAGCACAGCAATACAACAATAAATACTCATAAAGCAAAACAATAAACATTAAAACAATAGCAATAAACATTAGACAATAACACCACGATGCATTTAAAACTGAGGCCGGGCCAAATGTAATGAATAAAAATTTAAAAATGTTGGAAATGACAGGTGAAATGGGTAAGTTTTTGGAGATAAGTGCGGTGTGCAGACAATCTTAAATCTCTTATAAAGTGCATTTATTAGCCACGTCTTCAAGCTCTTCCTAAAGACTGCCAACGTTGGGGCTTGTCTGATGTCCTTGGGGAGAGAGTTCCAGAGTTGGGGGGCCACCACAGAGAAGGCCCTGTCCCTCGTCCCAACAATCGCGCTTGCGACGCAGGTGGGACGTGAGCAGGGCCTCTCCAGATGATCGGAGAGATCGTGTGGGTTCGTATACGGAGATGCGATCACGCAGGTAGGCAGGTCCCAAACCGTTTAGGGCTTTGTAGGTAAACAACTGCACCTTGAATTGGGATCGGAAAATGAACGGCAGCCAATGGAGCTCCTTAAACAGGAGGCTAGATCTACATTGCCCTATATCCCAAGATCTGATCCCAGGTCATCTGCTTTGAACTGGATTATATGAGTCTACACTGCCAGATAATCAGGGATAATCAGATAATCTGGGACCTGGGATATAGGGCAGTGTAGATCCTTAGTGTTTTAGAACTCTCTCACATCACACACCTTTGGCTTTTAGCAATTCACTTCTCTTGTAAGCTTCAGTGGATTGCTTTCTGGAAATGAGGGGCCATAACCACCATGCCAGCCCTTTCTGAATAAGCAAACTCTCCCTGCCCAGCTGTTTTGAAAAAATGCCCATGACACTCCCAGACTAGCCCAAACATATTAGGGCCACATGCTCAAAAGAGTTTTTGTTTAATGCATTGCTTATAGGAAAAATATATTTCAATCAATCAGATATATGGAACACATTACCAATTCCTGAGATGGTAATTCTTCCTTTTTTCATGCTGTATTATGTTATCCTTTGTAATCTCTGTACTTTCCCCTTGCTTTTTAGGGTGATCCAGGCCCACAGGGTGAGCAAGGCCGTGAAGGACCCTATGGACCACCTGGAGAACCAGTAAGATTCAGCTTCTTTTACATCTTATGAATCTGATGTAGGCATAAACTAATGTTCAAGCAAGAAGAAAAGTTATGTCCAGCCATAACTAAATGGTCTATAGCTCATGGTCAGGGAGTTAGGACAGTATATAAATGACTAGCCTCTTTGCCTAGTCAGGGCTGGTCTACTCATTACCTTTCCCTCACAAAGAAGGCTGAAAGTGACATTTGTGTATAGGCTTCTCCCATCTTTTCACAAATTTATTTTCTGACACCTTGATTTTTCAGTGTTTGCAAATTACAAACAAGTTCCCTTAATTTAATAAAGCTCCTGCTCTTTCATCCAATGTTTTTGCATATAAAGCTCACGTTGTATGCTTGCATACAGATTCATACTGCCAAGGTTTGCCTACAGAAAGAGCAGACCCCATCTTGAATCACATTTAAATGTCTGCAAAGGCTCGTTTAGCTTTTTCGTGGATTCAAAAAAGATATACAGTGTGCTATATACATTAATACGTGTGTGTGTGTGTGTGTGTGCAGGCAGTCCCCTAGTTACAAACATCTGACATACAATGACTCATAGTTGAGAATGGGGGTGAGACAACAGGAAGTGAGAGAAATCTCCTCAGAAGGGAAATCCACTCTTGAGCTTCTCCCCTTTATCACCAATCTTTGTTTCCACAACAAGCCAAAATTTTCAGAAACCAATTATTACAGGGACAAAAAGTAAGATTACTTTTTTTAGGTTCTTGTGGGTTTTTTCGGGCTATAGGCCATGTTCTAGAGGCATTTCTCCTGACATTTCGCCTGCATCTATGGCAAGCATCCTCAGAGGTAGAACATGGCCCTGTAGCCCGAAAAAACCCACAAGAACCTAGTGATTCCAGCCATGAAAGCCTTTTTTTTTATTGTGTCAGAGGCGACTTGAGAAACTGCAAGTCACTTCTGATGTGAGAGAATTGGCCGTCTGCAAGGACGTTGCCCAGCGGACTCCCGGATATTTTGTTTTATCATCCTTGGGAGAGGCTTCTCTCATGTCCCTGCATGAGGAGCTGGAGCTGACAGAGGGAGCTCATCCACACTTTCCCCAGAGTTGAACCTATGACCTATCGGTCTCCAATCCTGCCGGCACAAGGGTTTAACCCACTGCGCTACAGGGGGCTCCAGAAAGTAAGGTGTAACCTTGTTACACTTCAGAAATATACCTGTTCCAACTTACATATAAATTTAAAAACAAACCTACAGAGCCTATCTTGTTCATAATGTAGGGACTGCCTATAAATGAATGTGGAGTTCATGCAGTGGGTAAAATGGATTTTCAAGCACACCACCCCACTCCTGAATTCCTTTTCAGGCAGTTACACTTTCTGACAGTTCTCTGATCCCTAACCAGTCAGATAATTCTGGGCACCACAATTCAAGAGAGATATTGACAAGCTGGAATGTGTCCAGAGGAGGGTGACTAAAATGATCAAGGGTCTGGAGAACAATCCCTATGAGGAGCGGCTTAAGGAGCTGGGCATGTTTAGCCTGAAGAAGAGAAGGCTGAGAGGAGATATGATAGCCATGTATAAATATGTGAGAGGAAGCCACAGGGAGGAGGGAGCAAGCTTGTTTTCTGCTTCCTTGGAGACTAGGACGCGGAACAATGGCTTCAAACTACAAGAAAGGAGATTCCATCTGAACATGAGGAAGAACTTCCTGACTGTGAGAGCCATTCAGCAGTGGAACTCTCTGCCCTGGAGTGTGGTGGAGGCTCCTTCTTTGGAAGCTTTTAAACAGGGGCTGGATGGCCATCTGTCAGGGGTGATTTGAATGCAATATTCCTGCTTCTTGGCAGGGGGTTGGACTGGATGGCCCATGAGGTCTCTTCCAACTCTTTGATTCTATGATTCTATGATAACTGGGGGGCAGGAGGTTGGAAAGCTACTATCTAGAAAACTGTTCTTTGGTCTACCTCACTCAAGAACAACACTGACATTGTGTTACTGACTAAAGCATCCTTCTTCAGATTAAGGAACTTCCTCTCCTATAAAATGTCCAGTTCCCCTTTCCTCCACTCTGTTCTTTTATATCAAAATGTGGAAGATCTGGTCTATGCTTCAGCTATCATTGTCCTATAGCAATAACTTAATAGCATTGCTGAAACTAATTATAGATGTTGTTCTTGAGCAGAATGACTGATTAAAGGCCAGCAGCTGGAACAAAAGTTGGCACAAGCACCATTGGGGTGATGGAGGGTGTCCCAGAGTCCAGCGGCTCACACTGATTGGGAGTTTCCTGTTTCTTTTCTCCAGAAAAAAGAAATTATATAAATATTAACTCAGAAAAAGTCCAAATGGCACTTGCAATCTAATGCTGCACTCTTTGATTTCCATTCCTGGAAGTAAGCCTATTTGAACTCACAGGAATTTAGTTCTGAATAGACATGGATGGATTTGAGATGTGTAAAGAGCTCTATGTGGATAGCCACTCAGACTATTTTGTCCATTGGATGAATTCCAGGTGGCAATCAAAGATGCATTCCCCTTGACCTAGCTCATGTTCCTGCAATGGGGCCTTCACTGAGTGAAGGTCTACTAACAAGAAATAGCTTTACTCCTGTTATTATTATTACTAAATTTGTTACTACCTTTTTTCCAAGTTGGGAGTTTAAAGAAATGTACAAATTAAAATGATTGCAATAGTTTTAAAAACTTACAAGACGTCAACCTTAAATTAGAATTAAGCAATGGTTTTCATTAAATCTATTTAAGATGTGTACTTTCAAAAGATCTTTTAAACCAAAAGTTAAAACATCACAGTTCAAAACAATAGAGTGCAGGCCCGTAGCCAGGATTTCGTTTCGGGGGGGGGGGGGGGGGGCTGAATTTTTTTCAGGGGGGGTTTCGGGGGGGCTGAGTTTCGGGGGGGGCTGAGTCTGAGTGAAAGAGGGTCTACCCTAGCAAACCTTTTGTATAATTACCCCAATACCCCCATGCATATGGGATATATTGAGTATGGTGATCAGATCATGATATGAATAAACATAACAGTTTAAATAATGCACCAGTAAGGCCTTTTCGCGAACCACCATGAGAATTTCGGGGGGGGGGGGCTGAAGCCCCCCCACCCCCCCCCCCCCCCCCCCCCCCCCCCCCCCCCCCCCCCCCCCCCCCCCCCCCCCGGCTACATGCCTGATAGAGTGCCATCTTATAGCCCTTCCCTTAAAGGCAGTAGTTCTCAACCTGTGGGTCCCCAGGTGTTTTGGCCACAACTCCCAGAAATCCCAGCCAGTTTACCAGCTGTTAGGATTTCTGGGAGTTGAAGGCCAAAAAATCTGGGGACTCACAGGTTGAGAACCACTGTCTTACAGTTTCCACTGGCTCAGAATAAAAGCTTTCCTGCTTACAGAAGGATAGCAACGAGGGAGCCATCCCATCCTCCCAAGAAGAGAATTCCAAAATCTAGGGAAAAGTTGAATCTGACATAATGAGGAATCTAAAATACAAGATACACATATAAAAAGCAGACAATCTGCTCCATAGAATCATAGAATCAAAGAGTTGGAAGAGACCTCATGGGCCATCCAGTTGGGAGTTTAAAGAAATGTGCAAATTAAAATGATTTGTATTCCTGCAAGAAGCAGGAATATTGCATTCAAATCACCCCTGACAGATGGCCATCCAGCCTGTTTAAAAGCTTCCAAAGAAGGAGCCTCCACCACACTCCGGGGCAGAGAGTTCCACTGCTGAACGGCTCTCACAGTCAGGAAGTTCTTCCTCATGTTCAGATGGAATCTCCTCTCTTGTAGTTTGAAGCCATTGTTCCTTGTCCTAATCTCCATGGATGCAGTAAACAAGCTTGCTCCCTCCTCCTCCCTGTGGCTTCCTCTCACATATTTATACATGGCTATCATATCTCCTCTCAGCCTTCTCTTCTTCAGGCTAAACATACCCAGCTCCTTAAGCCGCTCCTCATAGGGCTTGTTCTCCAGACCCTTGATCATGTTAGGCCGGCATGACTGCATGGAGCGCCGTTACCTTCCTGCTGGAGCGGTACCTATTGATCTACTCACATTTGCATGTTTTCGAACTGCTAGGTTGGCAGAAGCTAGGGCTGACAGCGGAAGCTCACGCCGCTCCCCGAATCGAACCTGCGACCTTTCGATCAACAAGCTCAGCAGCTCAGTGCTTTAACCCACTGCGCCACCGGTGGGTTAAGTAGAAGGATAAATGACATGTCTTTTCATTTTTCTAGGGTGAAGCAGGCCCACCTGGACCTAAAGGGTACAGAGGAGACGAAGGACCTTCTGGGCCAGAGGTCAGTTTATTTTGACACTCAAGATTGCTTGCAGGCAGTAAGAAATTATTCTCCACCTTTAGGACTTTAGTTATTAGATCTGTGGCAGAGGTAATGGGACCCTCCAGACGTTGGTGGGCTGTAGCTCTTCACTATTGGCTAGACCAGGAGTGGTGGCATTAATAGTCCAAAAATATCTGGAAGACCCCATTTTCTTCACCTTCAGGTTAGACACTTTGTACACTTTTGGGAGAATTCATATTCCAATACATGTATCTAGTGATGACAAAGGAGGACTATCAGTTTTCAGACTGCCTGCTACAGTTATGGAAGTTATGATGACCATACACAAGTTAGTTTTTATGTGTAGCATATAACACTGTGTAATATGTAGAGATGTGCAGGATTATTTTGCTGTAGGCTTTTCTCATTTGATCATTGTGATATATTCACACCGTCAGGAAGACTTGAAGGAAATCTTCATAGCAAAGTCTTCTGAAATATTTTCAAGGATTCATTTTACAATCTTCACGTTATCACAGTTGTTCCAAGGTAGGACAGCAAAGCAGCAGAAGTTGGGTTTTGCAACAGCAGTTATAAATAATAGAAATCATTCAAACATTCAAAGGAGAGCTCTCATCCCAAGATGGTGTTACTTGTTTATTCTTTTTGCATTTCAGCAAAAATGTCTTTTATGCTAATCTTGTTTGCAGAGATCTGTGAAAGATGTGTGCTCTACCAAGGCTGGATCTACACAGCCGTATAATCCAAATTATCAAATCAGATTATCTGCATTATCTGCTTTAAACTAGATTATATTAGTCTACACTGCCATATAACCCAGTTCAAAGCAGATATTCTGGATTTTATATGGCAGTGTAGAAGGAGGCTGAATCTACACTGCCATATAATACTGTTCAAATCAGATAATCTGGATTATATATGGCAGTGTAGATCAGCCCAACTCAGCTACAGCAATACTGAAATATGCATTTGGAAATCTATGCATGTATGCTATAAAAAAGCTTTTCCCACTATATACAGCTCTATTTGCTAAAAAAATAGAAAGCTCTTAATAAACTTAGTAAAAAGGTAAAGGTAGTCCCCTGACACTAAGTCCAGTCATGTCTGACTCTGGGGTGTGGTGCTCATCTCCATTTCTAAGCCGAAGAGCCAGCGTTGTCCGTAGACACCTCCAAGGTCATGTGGCTGGCATGACTGCATGGAGCGCCGTTACCTTCCCGCCGGAGCGGTACCTATTGATCTACTCACATTTGCATGTTTTCGAACTGTTAGGTTGGCAGAAGCTAGGGCTGACAGCGGAAGCTCATGCCGCTCCCCAGAATTGAACCTGCGACCTTTCGATCAACAAGCTCAGCAGCTCAGTGCTTTAACCCACTGCGCCACCGGGGGCTCCTACAATAAATTTAGTAGCATAATAAAAATAGGCTTTCTTTTTGCTTTGTTGCAACAGCTGATACCCCTCTGAAAATGAATTGGGAATGTGATTCATTGTTCCTGAGTTCTTTGACACAGTGATTTTTTTCTGTTTTACTTTTATAGGGCCCTAAAGGACTGCTAGGGCCACCTGGATTACCTGGAGACACTGGCCCAATGGGTGACCGGGTGAGTGGCATAATTTGGGGCTGTGAAAAAATTACAGTTCAGTCTGCTTGAAGGAAGGCAGAGCTGGGACTGTCTTTTCTGTCTTACTTTCACAGACACTGGCTTACTCTTCCTCACGCTCACAATAACACACCACACACACATCCTCACGATCCTGGTACAGGATGCCCTATGGGCATGAATAGAAGTTGTAGTCAGAATTTTGTGTTCCTCAAAATGTTTATCTGCAACTTCTATCACCCTTGCCTTCATAGAAATGTTGAGAGTTGCTGTTCAGCAACATCTGATGGTAAAGATTTGGCCCATCCCTGCTGTCAGTAATTATTTCCTCCCAGGACTAACCTTGGGAGGTAGTAGAGAACCTTCTTGCATTGAGAGGAGGAGTGGCTTTTTGTCGCACCCCAGGCCTGAAGTGGCCTATGACCACAGCCTCACACAAAAGTCCAGAGTAAAGGCGAACAGTTTATTTGAAAAATCACACAAAAGATATATAATGAAAAAGCAGGAATAAGGAATTAAGATGTAAAATCCAAATAGTCACCAATCAATTGTCTCTTAGAAATGATCTTGACAGATTAGAGAGATGGGCCCAAACTAACAAAATGAAGTTCAACAGTGACAAATGCAAAATACTCCACTTAGGCAGAAAAAATGAAATGCAAAGATACAGAATGGGCGACGCGTGAAAAAGAAGGACGTGTGAAAAAGATCTTGGAGTTAAACATGAGCCAACAATGTGATGTGGTGGCAAAAAAAGTCAATGGGATTTTGGCCTGCATCAATAGGAGCATAGTGTCTAGATCCAGGGAAGTAATGCTACCCCTATTCTGCTCTGGTTAGACCACACCTGGGATATTGTGTCCAATTCTGGGCACCACAATTGAAGAGAGATATTGACAAGCTGGAATGGGTGACTAAAATGATCAAGGGTCTGGAGAACAAGCCCTATGAGGAGCGGTTAAGGAGCTGGGCATGTTTAGCCTGAAGAAGAGAAGGCTGAGAGGAGATATGATAGCCATGTATAAATATGTGAGAGGAAGCCACAGGGAGGGGAGCAAGCTTGTTTTCTGCTTCCCTGGAGACTAGGATGCGGAACAATGGCTTCAAACTACAAGAAAGGAGATTCTTTGGAAGCTTTTAAACAGAGGCTGGATGGCCATCTGTCAGGGACACTTTGAATGCAATATTTCTGCTTCTTGGCAGGGGGTTGGACTGGAGACCATGAGGTCTCTTCCAACTCTATGATTCTATGAAATCCAAAAGCAATATAGTACACGGATATTCTCAAAAACAAAGGCACTTGAATCCATAAGTAAAACTTGAATCAGAATATGAAACAAGAACATAAAGAACTCACAGAATACTTCCGAGTCCCAAAACCAAGGCTTGAAACAAGAACCAGAAAACTCAGGCCTGTACTTGAAAGCCATGTTGCCTGAAAATTAGCTCTTAATAAACAGACTTAAAAGCATTACATCTACCCTGGAATTTCTGCTTCCCATGAAGCTGTGGTGATCTCCAAAGCTGGCTATCTGTTCGAATCTGCAAGCACGCCTCCTTGCTCAGGTCAGTAGCACCATGTGTGTTCCCATAAGAATTTCTCATCAATTCATCTTCGCTAAACTCTTTATCTGGAGAAGATGGCTCCAACTCCTTTCCCTGGCCCTGAGGTTCAGAGGCAATTATATTCTCAGGCCCTGCATCTGTGCCAGCCTCTCTATCTAAAACAGTTTCATTTCCCTGGCTTGCTTGAGAAGGAATCCCAGGAAAGCCCACAATCCCATCTGACTCCTAAGTCATCAGTGAAACCATCAGCACCTGTCGGTTGAGACTGCTGCTGATCTACAACATTTTTGGATAATGTCATGGAAGGAAATTCATGTATGGTATTTGGGAGTCACTTGCCACTTACCATGAAATGTAAAGCCCAGTTTCTTCTTGTATTATGTTGAGAATTTTGCTGCTAGTAGGGGATCATCATGAAGGACAGTCACCCTGTTGAGATACTCCTGCCTTGGAAAATCTGTATCTCTTTCCTGCCCTGCCATCCAATAACTATTTTTGTGTAGCCACCTTGGGCTCTTCTCTGGTTTGTGCAGTTGTCCTTTGGTTTATTATTATTATCTGCCATTTTTTGTAAGAACCTCCTCCCCATTTCTCTGTACATAAGACACTATGGCTAATGTAGTTTTGGCATCAAGAAATACATTTTACTTGACCTCCCCTCCTAATTTCTCAACTTGCTCCTAGGGAGAAGATGGCCCACCAGGAAATGGCACAGATGGTTTTCCTGGAGTTCCAGTGAGTTTTATTTCTAAACTAGCTTGGGGACTCAGTGATGCCTGGGTTACTTGAGAAATGCATTGTTTGTTTTGGGAAGTTTAGTAATATCTCTGGAAGCAGGATGAACTCCCGCGCGAGCAGGTCATTTCCCCCCTCCAAAAAAAAAACCCTCCAGTATGTTATGCCATCCGAATGGGTAGGAAAGGGTTAAGTGAGAGGCAGTGGGTGGACTCATGCAAATTTGGAGAGAGAAAAGAACTCTGAGATGTCCATTCTGGAGAAAAAACAGATGATCTAGGATTAAATGGTCCCTGAATGAAAGCATTCCTTGGGTGGTTGGTGTTTGGGAAGGACATTGGCAGGGGTTGTGCTACATGTTCACGGTGCTCACTATAACCTGTAATGTCAGTTGAGGGTGTGCCTTTTCCGGCTTCTCAGCACTTGGAACTATAGCCTGTTTGTGGAGGTGGGAGGCTGTCTATGTAAGCGGACACCTCCGCCACATACACCGGCACACATTTTCACTTTTATTATGAGGATAGATTACAAATATTTAGACGGAACATTTGACAAAACCTGTTCCCTCTTTTCTTCCTTAATAGTAATAAGCAAACTTCCTTTCTTTTCTTCCCAAGGGCTATCCTGGCAGCAGAGGTGATCCTGGTGTGAATGTAAGTCAAAGTTCACAAAGTTTTGTGCTATTAACCAGTAGCCCCCAAATCCCCCCTTTCCCATGTTGCTCTCTGGGGGACTATATTTTTCATTGTCCCCTCAATTTCTATACTCAAATGCAGTAAAGTTGGGAATTCTTTAAAAAAATAACCAAGTTAAAGTTAATTTGAGATGAAGTTAGGAAAGCTTGCCATCTGCCCTGAAAACCTTAGCTTGGCCAATGGGTCTATTGCAGAGTGTAAAGAATGCAAAAACCCTGGTGTAGGAAAGTCTATATTCACAATCACATTTTATCCAGAAAGTCTCCATTATTTACAGTGTAAGAAAAACAAATGGATTGGAAACAAATAGTCCCGTTTCGATGGACAAAATGAATGTGGGCCTCTCTAGTGATCCTTCCCACTCTATCATTGATCATTCTCGTGTGAAATATGCTTTTGGCCTATGGCACTATCTACTAACTGTTATGCACATCTTCTAAACAGCGTGTTGTTTCCATCCTCCTCAGGGAACCAAAGGGCATCCTGGTCCAAAAGGGGATGAAGGAGAGATTGGAGACCCTGGGAGAGAAGTAAGTAATAAGTAAAATTAATAATACTTGACAGAAAATTAATTCTGTCCTTTGGCCAGTATAAACATATATAAACATATATATATATATATATATATATATATATATATATATATATATATATATAAACAGTATAAGACAACAGAATAGGAAGGACACGAGACCTCTTCCAGAAAATTAGAAACATTGGAGGTAAATTTCAGGCAAAAATGGTATGATAAGAAACAAAGATGGCAGGGACCTAACAGAAGCTGAAGAGATCAAGAGAAGGTGGCGAGACTATACAGAAGATCTGTATAGGAAGGATAATAATATTGAGGATAGTTTTGACGGTGTGGTGAATGAATTAGAACCAGACATCCTGAGGAGTGAGGTTGAATGGGCCTTAAGAAGCATTGCTAACAACAAGGCAGCAGGAGACGATGGGATCCCAGCTGAACTGTTTAAAATCTTAAAAGATGATGCTGTCAAGGTGATGCATGCCATATGCCAGCAAATATGGAAAACACAAGAATGGCCATCAGAATGGAAAAAATCAACTTATATCCCCATACCAAAAAAGGGAAATGCGAAAGACTGCTCAAACTTCCGTACAGTGGCCCTTATTTCTCATGCCAGTAAGGTAATGCTCAAGATCCTGCAAGGAAGACTCCAGCAAGACATGGAGCGAGAGTTGCCAGATGTTCAAGCTGGGTTTAGAAAAGGTAGAAGACGCTTACTTCTTGGGAGGAGAGCAATGTCCAGTCTCGATAAAATAGTAAATAGTAGAGACATCAGACTGGCAACAAAGATCCGCCTAGTCAAAGCCATGGTATTCCCTGTAGTAACCTACGGATGTGAGAGCTGGACCTTAGGGAAGGCTGAGCGAAGGAAGATAGATGCTTTTGAAACTGTGGTGTTGGAGGAAAGTTCTGAGAGTGCCTTGGACTGCGAGAAGATCCAACCAGTCCATCCTCCAGGAAATAAAGCCCGACTGCTCATTGGAGGGAAGGATACTAGAGACAAAGTTGACGTACTTTGGCCACATCATGAGGAGACAGCAAAGCCTAGAGAAGACAATTATGCTGGGGAAAGTGGAAGGCAAAAGGAAGAGGGGCCGACCAAGGGCAAGATGGATGGATGGCATCCTTGAAGTGACTGGACTGACCTTGAAGGAACTGGGGGTGGTGACAGCCGACAGGGAGCTCTGGCGTGGGCTGGTCCATGAGGTCACAAAGAGTCGGAGATGACTGAATGAATAAACAACAACACCATCCTCCTTACCTCTTTTCTTTATGTGATACTTGGGGGAAACCAGATGAAAGTTGAAGTTGTAAGTAGTTTACCAGCAATACAGTTCAGCAAGCTCTTGCTTCTTTCCACAACTGCGATCCAAATCGGTGGCAATAAAGCATCACCACTTACAATCTCCACGTCCCTTAATAATTGTGGAAAAGTTAAAAACATATGGTTTTGCCTGCATCTGGATTTTCATATTGAACACAAGAATGTACTGTGTATTTTTTCATCCAGTCATACTTTTTTGTTTTGTTTTTGATTTTGCACTCTTGGAAAACTATAACATATATTATAAGTAGTCATCTTCACAAATCAGATGAGCTGGTTTTCATGTTTCTGCCATAATGAGAGCAAAAGACCCTTCTTTTCCCTTTTACCACAAACAACAGTTAACCCTTTCGAAATAAACATCTTCTCAAGGGAAAAGAGTAGACAGTGTTGCTTTTGGCTTAATAAACAGCTATCTCTTGTGTTTATTTTTCTTTTCCAGAGCAATGCAACTGGGATCATTGGCATGAAAGGAGCCAAAGGATACAGAGGACCAGAAGGCCCTCCAGTAAGTAATCATGTTTTCACTAAATATGGATTTACAAAGGAAGGAACAAGGGCGACTTTTTAAATCTTGTGGGTGTTAATAAACTGCTTACATCCAAAACTTTCAAAACAGAGATATAACAATAATAGAACATACAATATCAAGCAATACAAATTAGTATAGAATACAATGTCCACAAAATCTGCAGAAGTAGGTGTTTCAAGATATCCTTTCTTTAAGGTCTCCACTATAGAATTAGAGCATTTGAGACCATTTTAACTGCAATTGCTCAATGGTATGGAATCATGGCAGTTTTAGTTTTGCAAGAGTGCTGGTGCCTCATCAGTCTACAACTCCCAGGATTCCATAGCATTAAGCGAAGCCAGTTAAAGTGGTGACAAACTGAATTAATTCTACAGTGTAGATGCACCCTGAGTGTGTTATCAGAGGGAGGGATATTCCACATAGCAGGTGTGAACACAGCCAATACCTTGTTGCAGACAACTGCAGATCAGACCTAAGCCTAGGGGCAGAGATCCTAAGGCATTAAGGAAAACTTGGGAAGTATGGGGAGTGTTTTGTCTCCCAACATCCCCATGCGTTTTGTTCCTGCATGTGGTATAGAAGCAAGGTTCAACACATGTGGGTTACTAAGAAGAAATCGGGCTTTTCATGGCAAAGTATACCCAAGTTAAATTTGGAATGTTGTCTATTAGGGCTGGGCGGTTTCGTTTCGTAATTTCGTAATTCGTTAAAAATTCGTTTTTTTTATATAACGAAGCGATAACAAACCATTCAGGAGCCACTAAAAAACGAAACGAATTTTTAAATTCGTTTCGTAATTGTTTCGGATTTGTTTTGTATTCGTTTCATTATCGTTTTGAAATCGTTTCGTTATTATTTCCGCATGTCTGGGGCAAGTTTTATAGTTGTTGTTTGTTTAATCAGTGAAAAAAAATTATAAATATCACACCAACAGTCAACAACAGAGGGAGAGGGAAGCTTCAGAAGTTCCCCCTGTCCCATTTGGAGGTTTTTTAGCGTATTGCGCGGTTGTGTCCGCCATTAACGAATCGATTCGTAATTGTTTCGTAATTTTTTCGTATTGTTTTGTAATTTACAAAATTTCGTAAATATCGAACTTTTTAAAAGAAAAATTTCGGAATTCTTTTAAAAATCGAAACGCAAACCCCCCAAAAACAAATCGATTTTAGAAACAAATGTTTCCGTTGTTACCCAGGCCTATTGTCTATCATCAATGGCAATGCAAAGACCAGGAAAAGGACATACGGATCACTGCAGAATACAGAGGGAATTGATTAGATTAACTTTGGATGTGTTTCCCATTTTAGTGCCCAAAAAAGCACTTTAAAAAGCCTTTAGCGCTTATAATTCGAGCCAATGAATTTGTCCCTGTTGACTTCCAAAAACCAGTGGGGCCTCTCGTTTATGTCCATCTCTCCCTGCAAAACTAAATCCAGTCTTTAAGAAAGGTTTTGGTATCAATATGATTAAGAATGGAAAGCCTTGGACTTTGTTAATTGCAAATATTTAGTCTTGTCTTACTAAGTGAACTGGTATCTAATCAAAATCATGGAAATGAAGGTATTTTGGTGTAATCCATAAAACTCTGAAGACTCAAGGATTCACATTTCTTTCATGCACTATTAAGGCACGGCAGACTCAACCGCTTTTGTTATACCATTCTCCAACATAATTTTTTCCTTCTGGAATGGGATGTAATAGAGAATTCTGGCATTTTTACAACCACTTTGTTTTCCAGGGACCTCCAGGACCCGTAGGCCCTCCTGGACCAGATGTGAGTAAAACTAGCCTTATATGTCTCTTATTTTCTCTGTTTTGTAAAGCATTTAATAAATATTTTCATGAAGAGTTTACAATACGGGATGGGGCTTATGAGTATCCTATGCTTAATGTGCTGTAAGCTTCCAGGAATCCTGCTTGCTGAACTGACTATTTTTAATGTTGGAATGAAGAAATCAGACAATTGGAGCGGAATTATTTCAAAGCCCTGTTTGACACCAGTGTTCCTTCTTTGATTTTTTAGGAATGTGAAATTTTAGATATCATCATGAAAATGTGTTGTAAGTATTTGATGTCATCTTTTGCAGAGCTAATATCAATGCCACTGGCATTAACTAAAGGCCATCTACACTGTAGAATTAATGCCATCTAACACCATAGAATCACAGAATCATAGAATCACAGAGTTGGAAGAGACCTCATGGGCCATCCAGTCCAATCCCCTGCCAAGAAGCAGGAATATTGCATTCAAATCACCCCTGACAGATGGCCATCCAGCCTCTGCTTAAAAGCTTCCAAAGAAGGAGCCTCCACCACACTCCGGGGCAGAGAGTTCCACTGCTGAACGGCTCTCACAGTCAGGAAGTTCTTCCTAATGTTCAGATGGAATCTCCTCTCTTGTAGTTTGAAGCCATTGTTCCGCTTTCACTGTAGTGGTTCAATGCTATGTAATCATGGTATTTTTCACCTTCTATGCCAGAGGGCCAGTGTATCACCATACCACAAACAAAGGACCCCAAAGTATTCAATTATGGCAGTTAAAGTGTTGTCAAACTGCATTAATTGTATACTAAAGACACATCCCAAAATTATACCAAACTCAAAAATTCAAGAGCTGTACTAAATCATCACCCCATCACATGGGTTGTATGGTGCTTAGACTTTTAAAAAAGAATTCCTCTTTTGTGTACATGACTAATAAAACATTTCCTAGCTTCTTCAAGTTTCATGTATTATGAAGTCATTGGAATTTTAGAAATGATTAAGCTTATTTAGTTGAACGCTAGCAAGTGAAGTTTTTGACAGGTAACATGGCAACTTGGACAGACCCCAAGGGTCAGAAAATGGGAGTTCTATTCCAGGCCACAGTTTGCCTTGGCATGAAAATGTAATTTTCTTGTTCAAAGTTACCAGCACAATAACACGTTCAAAAGCTAAGTGTGCTCTGTTTAGTAATATCTTTTTATTTTTATTTTTGGAGTCATAGCCAATGCTTTGGCAAATGTGTCAAGACTAAAAGAATAAGATAATGAAAACCAGAAGCGGTTCCAAAGACTTCCCCAGATTGTTCACTGAATACCACAAACTCTTCAGTGTTTGAAAACTGAGAAACCCTGTTCTCTACATCTTGTCTATAAAGCAACTCCCCTCTGTTTAGACAGCATTGTAATTCATACTGTCTTGTGTACTTTTTCTTCCCAAACAGGACTTGTTTGAAAATTAACAAGGGAGTTGATTAAACAACAACAATTGGGCAATCATAATGCACACATACTGAAAAAAAGCCTTTGGCATTTTGATTACATTTTCCCCTTTGCTGTTTGCTAAAATCTGGGACTGAGGGAGAGTACTGATATCTCAAATATGGGTGGCATTTCTAAGCTTACTTCCTAGGCAAGAAGATATTTTGAAGCTAGTTATAATCTGTTGCTTTCTAGGGCAGGTTGGGTCTAGGTTAGTGCCCATATCTGTTTTGTTTTGAAATGGTTATATAAAATATTGATTCTCAACTTTGTGTTTTTCCCCTTTTGCCCAGCTTGCTGTGGTGAGTATGATTTTTATAACTCCTTTCTCTTCTATTTTACCGTGCGTCGGCGGTGGCCAGAAGGACCTTTGCACAATTAAGACTCGTGCGCCAGCTGCGACCATACCTTGTGAAGGCAGATCTGGCCAGGGTGGTCCATGCCTTAGTCACCTCCAGATTGGACTACTGTAATTCACTCTACATGGGGCTGCCCTTGAAAACGGCCCGGAAATTCCAATTGGTACAACGGGCGGAAGCCAGGTTACTAGCTGGTGCTCTTTATAGGGAGCGGTCAACCCTCCTGTTTAAGGAGCTCCACTGGCTGCTGTTCATTTTCCAGTCCCAATTCAAGGTGCAGGTTCTTCCCTACAAAGCCCTGAACAGTTTGGGACCTGCCTACCTGCGTGACCACATTTCTATTTATGAACCCACACGATCTCTTCGATCATCTGGAAAGGCCCTGCTCATGCTCCCGCCTCTTTCGCAGGCGCGATTGGTGGGGACAAGGGAGAGGGCCTTCTCGGTGGTGGCCCTCCGACTCTGGAACTCACTTTCCAGAGATATCAGACATGCCCCAACTCTGGCAGTCTTTAGGAGGAGCTTGAAAACGTGGTTGTTCCAGTGTGCCTTCCCAGAATAAGGAAAACTCTCAGCATTATGTCCTCAAAATGCACTTTACTACTGCTTTAGGATTGACTGCATTCCCTCATTCTCTCTGAAAATCCTATCCCAATTATATCCTACCTGGTTCACATCAGCACTATTTTTTTAATTTTAATCTATCACATTTGGCCCAGTCTTTGGTTTTAAATGTTTATATGTTACTGTTGATTGCCTATTGTCTATTTGTTTATGTGATTATGATTTATATTGCATTGATTAATTATTTATGTTTTTTATTGATGTTCTGTTTATTGATGCATTGCGGGCTTGGCTTCATGTAAGCCGCACCGAGTCCCTTGGGGAGATGTAGTGGGGTACAAATAAAGTGTTGTTGTTGTTGTTGTTATTATTATTATTATTATTATTATTATTTATTGCTGCATTGCCTATATTCAGCTAATTTTTCATGCCCTGGAGAAGTGGGCAACTATTGTGAAAGCACAAGGTAAATTGCTACCCCCAGACTACCCCCAAGGGCCATGTTAAGACACAGTGTGATAAAATACTTTCATTTCTTCTGTAGTCCATCTCAAAATGGTGATGTGAAATAATCTATTGCCATTTTGAGAAGGACTGCAGAGAAAATGGAGATATTTGGGAATAAATCATTGCTCTAGAATTCTTGTGGAGGTGAGTAATCGTATTTTCTTACATTATGATGTGTTCAATTTAGTTTTCATGGCAGGAATACTGGGGTGGGGTCAACCAAGGGCAAGATGGATGGATGTTGTACTTGAAGTGACTCGCTTGACCTTGAAGGAGCTGGGCGACAGCGGACAGGGAGCTCTGGCGTGGACTGGTCCATGAGTTGGAAATGAATGAACGTATAAACAAAAACATTGTGTATTAGTGGCACTTTCTGAGTGCTTTGGGGAGAAAAACGTGCTAAAATTATGGTGGCTTTCTTTTAAAATTGTGCAGTTAGTGATTTTTCAGGAGTGGTGGAAAGCTTCAGGGGCTCCGACACTGGAGGCTATGCTATGTCCACCTGTGATAGCCTCCTGTTGCTGTCTGCTCCCACAATTCTAATTTGGAAACTTCACTGGATGTCATAACTAAATCCAGCCCCCATATCAATGCAACCATGCTTGTGTTCCACAGATGCCTAGCACAACCTTCCTAATTAGCTGTGAAATTAAGTACAAATATGCCAAGAAACCCTCACTTTTCTGATGTGGTCCTATGTTTTATTTCAGAATGCAAGTGTGGTCCTGTTGACGTTCTGTTTGTACTGGACAGTTCAGAGAGTATTGGCCTGCAGAACTTCATGATTGCCAAGGATTTCATTATTAAGGTCATCGACCGGTTGCTCAGGGATGAACATGTCACGGTAAGGCTTGTAATCAATCGTATCCAATCTAATCGACACCACATATAAACCTCCACTCTTTTCTTCAAAGACAGATAGCATAGTTGCAAAACATCTGTTTTGGAAGATGGCTAGGTCCAAAGAAACCACTACAATCTGGACCTAAAACATCACAGTTCTCAGATATTATAAACTACCCTTGATTATTTTGATCGCAATTTTAACATTTTGCAGCTCAGAAATTTTATTTGATGCCTAACTTTCTTTTAACAGTTCACCCCAGGGGAATCCCATGTTGGTGTTGTGCAGTACAGCCATGATAAAACTCAAGAGCTTGTGGCCTTGGGAGATGCCAATATTGATAACATTGGAGCACTTAAGGAGTAAGTTGGGATTAAATGTCTACGAATTAAAGGTTTTCTGTTCTGTTTTATATCTGAGATGTCATTGTGTGATAGTTGTGTTTTTCCCAAACCTTACTGAAGTATTGCATAGAGCTTAAGCACATCTAATAAAGGCTCTCCCATCATACTATAGAGCAGTGGTTCTCAATCTGGGGTCCCCAGATATTTTTGGCCTTCAACTCCCAGAAATCCTAACAGCTGGTAAACTGGCTGGGATTTCTGTGAGTTGTAGGCCAAAAACATCTGGGGACACCAGGTTGAGAACCATTGCTATAGAGCATAAGTGCCAGAGCAGAACAAGTGTCAAATTTTCCCCCACCCTAATGGAGGGGAATGGCATGCTCCTCTAACTTTTATCTTTATATTCCAGTAAGTTATTTTGCTCTCATTGTTGATAAAACAAAAACCTTGCATACCTTATATGATTGGATAATTTCAACGTTTTTCTTTTATCATTGTACAACCAAGGACGATTTTATAACTTGCTTGCATTATTTTTTTTCTTTCTCAAGTAAGTAGCTCTTTATACTCTTACAGACCAAAAAAAGATTGTGTTTGGGGACAATATGCACAGGCCGCAAGGCTGTGGTCCAAAAAATATGTTTTCTAAGCTCTTTCGGTGCCTTCACAACTTAGGGCTGGCATGGCTATTGTAGTTCACTCACTTGATTTTTTTTTTTTTAAAAATTAACCATTACATTTGGCCCTGCCACAAGTTTTTAAATGTGTCATGATTTTTGTTATTGTTTTGCTTTGCTATGAGTTATTTATTGTTGTGTTGTTGTTGTGTTTTTTGTATTTGGGCTCGGCCTCTTGTAAGCCGCACCAAGTCCTGCGGGAGATGGTAGCGGGGTATAAATAAAGGTTTATTATTATTATATTATTATTGATCATGACAATATGCATCGAATACATGCATTGAATACAGTCTAAATTTTTACACCAGTTTCCTAGATTATATCTGTTACTGAATCAATCAGTAACAGATATAAGCCAAAACACAAAGAGACATGGAAACAGATCTAGATGACAGTGAAGAGGTTTGGCTTCCTGACTGTGATACTGAGACAGTCTGTTTGCTTGCAAGGGCTGTGAAAAACTTGCGCTGGATTGCTGGAGGCACCTATACTGGGGAGGCTCTTCAGTTCACCAGGGACAATCTGGCCCAGCGTTTTACTTCTGAAAAAAGAGTGGCCATCGTCATCACTGATGGGAGGTCTGACATCCTTCGGGACCAAACACCATTGAGTGCTCTCTGTGGATTCAATACCCAGGTGAGCTTAGCATTATGTGGGGAGAGGGCAAAGTTATAAAATAAAAGGTGCACTTGCTCTTGGGATCATGCATAATGCTGTTCATTCATACAATCATTATCAATATTGTACAGGTGGTTCCCCTGGGTATTGGGGACATTTTCCAAGGTCCTCCAAACCCTGAGCAGTTATCAACAATTTCCTGCGGTGGTGTGTCAATTCAACGAGAAAACTTTGCTGAGCTCCTGGATGACACTTTCCTACAGAGTGTAGTCTCTGAAGTCTGCAAAGGTGGGTGTAGCAACTGGGGTCACCTGAAAGTGTGGCTGTGGGGTGGTGCTCCAGAAAGTTCCAAGTTCTCAAAAGGACAATGAATACATAATTCCCAGTGGAATAAAAGAAGTCACCACATATACCTGGGAGGGTTTTAGGTGGAAAGTATTAATAATGCATTTTCCTGGGTCATTTATGATCCATGCCATTTGTAAATAGTTACAAATGGCATGGAACATAAATGACCCAGCAAAATGTATTATGGAAGATTAGTCCAGCCATACACTTTCCTATTGTGCCTACTCTCTTAAGGATAAATAGCAGTTGTCCCTAAATGCTTCTTGACAGGGGGTTGGACTGGATGGCCCATGAGGTCTCTTCCAACTCTATGATTCTATGAAATATCATAGGATATTAACTTGTTATTCAGCAGAAACAGAACTGTGTATATAACCGCTATCGCTATACCATATTTAAGACAGGACATTGCTGTGGAGAGAGTGTATGTACAGATCTCCTGGACATTATGAAACACAAGAGAAATGGAAAGAACTGCAGATGCAATTGTGCCAACCATGAAAGCTAAGCACCCTGTTTTTATAGTTTAAATAATTCCTGGCAGAGTGCATATATCTGACCTATAGCTGTGCTGAGTGTGGTGTACATGCTAATATGCAGTGGCAGTATCATTTGGGTCATTGTGTAGAAAGGGCTCATAGTGTACCATAACTGGGTTATTTTTTATAGTCACACGTAATATCAGATTTTCATCCCAAAATAATCTGCAGTGAGTTTGAAGAATCCAACAAATGTGTTTGAAACACTTGCCTTCCATTCAGCTAGGATCATTTCTAGATGGACCAGACAGTACTATAACTTTTGTAGACATTCACAATGCAAGTCTTGAGGGATGCTGTCCTACCTATCATCAGTAAAGTGAAAGGATCCACATGAAGCCCATCTTTCTTGCATTGGTACTGAACAACTGCGTATTCAGCAAGTACTTAAATGTGATTTTGTTTTTTCATTTTATAGACAAGAAATGCCCAGACTACACATGTCCAAGTAAGTATTATCAATTACCAACTAGCAATACCATGGGATATGTTCTTGTCGCAGTTCAGCTAAGACTTCTGTGGCTCTTGAGAAACTAATTCAAAATAAGAGTGGGGAACCTTTTTCAGCCTGAGTACTTGGGGAGGGTAGTATTCCACTGGTAAGTGGGTCAAAATCAAAAAGGTGGGGAAGATCTCAGCATGTTTCAGCTTAAAACTTTCCCTAGTGCTAAGTAAGCCTAAGTAAGTAAGTAAGTGCTAAGTAAGTAAGCTAAGTAACCCCAGCATTTTACAAGGGGTATAAAAATATATACAAAACATGGGACAATGTCCTGAGGACTAAAAATCCCAGGAGAACCAAATTCAGTCCCATAGCACTTAAATCAAGCACAAAACCATGAAGGGTATTTCCTGTGCTGGGACAGGAGGGGGACCCGTTACGATGATTCTGTCGGATTTGTATGTGAGATCTGTTGGGATCATTTCTGGCACAGGCGTGTAGCAACATGACTTGCCATCCTTGTTCTGGACTTGCTGCTTCCCAGACCAGTGATATGTCCAGAAAACTGATTAATGCAGGAAGAGGGGAGAGATGACATATCGGATACTTGGTATTACACTTCGATCTCACACTTCTGAGTGTGAGATCAATGCCTCTAGTTTCCATTCTGGAAAAAAACTGCTCTGAGTCTCAAACACTTGAGAAATATCTTGGCAAAATTTCTGCTTGAGTCCAATATGAAAAAAATGGAACACTTGCCCAGCTTCTCTGAACATGAAATCAGTATTAGTGGCCAAACACATTATTGTAACTGGCCCTAATTCATTACCATAATGTCTTACAAGAATTATAAATCAATATCTCCTATCTTTTCAGTCTCTTTTAGTGGCCCGACAGACATCACACTCGTTGTGGATAGTTCTACCAGTGTAGGTAGCCGGAATTTCAATACCACCAAAAAGTTTGTGAAACGCCTTGCAGAACGATTCCTTACAGCAGCCAAACCTACTGAAGATGCTGTGCGTGTCTCTGTCGTCCAATACAGTGGAAGAACCCAACAGAAACTAGAAGTTCCATTTGAACAGAACTACACAGTGATTGCTGATACTGTTGACAAAATGCAGTTTATTAATGACGCTACAGATGTGAATGCAGCCTTGAACTATGTCACCAACCTCTTCCGTCGATCCTCTCGCTCTGGTGCTAAAAAGAGGATGCTCATTTTCTCAGATGGCAACTCTCAAGGCATCACCCAGAGTGCCATTGAGCGGGCAGTTCAAGAGGCCCGACAGGCAGGCATTGAAATCTATGTACTGGTGGTTGGCACTCAAGCCAATGAGCCCAATGTGCGTGTGCTTGTCACTGGAAAAACTGCTGAGTATGACGTGGCTTTTGGTGAGCGGCACCTTTTCCGGGTGCCTGACTATGAGTCACTGCTACGGGGCGTATTCTACCAAACTGTCTCCAGAAAAATATCTGTAGACTGAGGAAAGTGGCACATAAAGGAGAAACATATATTGATTTTTAGAATTAAAAAAGTAAAATACAGAGTTAGCAACCGATGAAATCCAGGTTCTTATTCCAAGCCATATCCCACCTGCATAACCCACCTGCTTTCCAGCTCTCTTACATCCATCCTTTATTTTCCATTCATTCTTTCCTTTACAGGGAGAAATTGAAGGCTGACTTATTCTTGCCCTAAGATATAGCTTTCTGAACTGTAACTGAAAATGTCTGTGTTTTGCATCATATTTGGTAACAATAAGCTGGGTTGGTAAAGATGCTTAAGTACATTATCCTTTTATTTTGAGATACAAAGAATCTTAGGATCTGCTTTCAAGATTTTGGCAGTGATACAATGATCCCTTGTATCACTGCCAAAATTACTATTTTTTTACTTGCTTTTAAAAAATAATTAATTATTCAGAAAGATTTTAAGTATTGATTACTCTTCAGGTTACTTGTCTCCCTAAAAGTTACTTTGCCCTCAGAAATATACAGGGGTCATTTCATGGCATATCACTAGAGCAGTTGTTGGGTATTTTTGAAACGAATATTTGGCTGGATTAATACCAACAACATGAAACACTAGAATGTTTGAAATTATCATGCAATAATTTTTCTTACATGGTGAAATTGAGTCCAACAGAGATATCTTCTAGTTTGCATTCCTAATCATTTTTGAACAAAATTCTAGGCCTTGCATTGGGAACTCTTGCCTTCCAAATCTGCCCCCCCCCTCCAAATTTGAGTGATATAGTTAATGCTGGTGCTAATAATCCTTTGACCATTTGCCCCTTCTCCAGCCAACAACCTCAAGTTTACATTGTTGGTATGTTCGCACACTTATACCTGGAAGATATATCAAAATGAGGTGTGGTTAATTCAGTATTTTCAATGGTGCTATCACTATGAATTCTCTGCTTTCAAAAGAAAAACAGCAAATTGTGTAAGATTGAGACTTCTATCATTTTGTAATCAATATTCACTTTAGCACTTCATTTTATTTTATTCCCATGTTTTACTGGCAGATGTTCACTTTGAGATTTGTTTGAATAAATCGTTTCCCACAGTTTTATTGAGAGGAAACTGTTTTTATACTTATTAAGCCTTAAGTTGAAAGGAAAGTGGAAAACACCACACACTGGGAAATGTCTGTGGCTTTTGAAAATATGTAGATGAATTCTTGATGGGAATTCTTACTATAGAAGAGCAGCTTGATCCTATTTGTAGTGATTCATTTTCAACCATATTGACATTACTTAAATAATTAAAACTGTCATGCATCACCATCCAGGGAAATGGGAAATGTAGTTCTGCAGAATGGGGAGGGTGGTCTCTAAAGAAGTCCCAACACTTCACCATAGTAGAATTCCTGTAATTCTTTAGTGAAGTCATCATATGTGCTTTATTCATACACACACACACCTGTAGATGTGATCTAAGAGAGGGTGAAGCCATTCCACCATTTCTTCAGAAAAATCTGTTCTCTTATGAACAGCCTACATGAGATTTTATGACTGTCAATAATACATATGCAGCTAAGAGTGGGCATACTGAATATATATGTCTAGACCAGGGGTTCACAAACTTTTTAAACAGAGGGCCAGGTCATAATCCCTCAAACTGTTGTAGGGCCGGATTATAATTTGAAAAAAACACAAAATAATTCCTATGCGTACTGCACATATCTTATTTGTAATGCAAGAAATGCTTTAAAACAATACAATAATTAAAATGAAGAACAAGTTTAACAAATATAAACATTAGTATTTCAATGGGAAGTGTGGGCCTGGTTTTGGCTGCTGTCGTGTGCTTTCAAGTAGTTTCAGACGTAGGTTGACCGAGCGAGGGCCACGTAAATGACATTGGAGGGCCGTATCCAGCCCTTGGGCCTTAGTTTGAGGACCCCTGGTCTAGACATTTTAATTTAAAAACCCTAGCTTGATTTATCCACTAGGCTTGGGTAACAACGGAAAAAAAATTGTTTCTAAACTCGTTTCGTTTTTAGGGGTCCATCGCGTTTCGTTTTTTAAAAGAATTCCGAAATTTTCCTTTTAAAAATTTCGAAATTTATGAAATTTCGTATAATTACGAATCGATTCGTTAATGGCGGACGCGATTGCGCAATAGGCTAAAAAAACCTCGAAATGAGACAGGGGAACTTCTGAAGCTTCCCTCTCCCTCTGTTGTTGACTGTTGGTGTGATAAAACAAACAACAACTATAAAACTTGCACCAGACATGCGAAAATAATTATGAAATAATTTTGAAATAATAACGAAATAATTACGAAATAAATTGAAAAAATTGTTTCGAATCTAATTTACTCCTCACACTATTCTTGCATGGCTCAATATTGGATCGTAAGCTAATTTAAATACGAATTAATAACGAATTACGAAATTAACGAACGAAACGGCCCAAGCCTATTATCCACAGATCAATTTAAGTACTCCCGGTGGTTAATGTCAGGGGAAAACATTTTTCCTTTACTTACATTTTTCCTTTACTTATCTCAACCTGTTCCTGACTCAAGTGGCAAGAAATGAGAGCTTAGTGCATCTAGGCGGGGGGGGGGGGGGCACAACTCTCTCCACTTCTAGTGGCCTGAAGTGCTGTTACTCTTTTCCCCGTTCTGCAGAATGACCCTCAGCATATCATGGTCAAATCAAAATACATAATTTTGGGAGTCCAAAATCTATTTATATATGTTAATTTAAATATGACTAGGGACCTTCAAAAAGTTTCTTCACTTTCATATTTTCGTTGGAAATTGTGAGGGTGAGAGGAGGAGTAATTGGTCATGTCTCAAGAGTGTCTGTCTGGCAAGCTGCAGTTTAGGATAAGAGTTGTCAGGCTTGGTGAAGATGACTGCAACACTTATAAATTAAACCAAAGAGGAATAGTATTGTGTCATATACTTTTTGTAGGTGCCGAGAGCACAAATTCACCTCTGCACGTGTGCTCAGTATGGGGATAACGTTCTCTTGTAGTCATTTATGAGTCAATTGAAATATTTGAAAATAGCCATACTAGTGTGGTGTGTGCAGAGTGCTCTAGGCATCCAGCTACAGCTACAATCACACAGGAATGACGAAAGAACCCTGGAACTGATTTGCATCAGTGGCTATGAGCTAAACAAAAAAAACTTATGATGGCATTAAAAGGTTTTTATGGAATTGGGAAAATGCATTGCAAAGAAAGGTAGAAATGTGATGTTATTTGTTTTTGAAATTCTTAATAAATAGTTTTTAAAGTGTGGAAACTTTTTGAAAAACCTTCATATCTATCACACAGACACACACTCACACATCTTCTCTATCAACCTTCTTGAGTAATATCTTTGGTGTTCTTTTCCTCCCTCTACCCTCTAATCGCAATGCTTAGTGTCAAGGTATCTTTTTTAAAAAAAAGCTTGGAGAAGAGTACTTGTAAGCAGAGAACCCTTCCAACTTATCTAAAAGATTTTGCCGCCCAGCTCTTGTAATGTGTGATTGAAGCCCCGTAGTCATGAATTGAAGTGCTTACCATGACACAACATCATTCTAAACTCATTGCAATTCAGTTTGCTGAAATAGTTCTTTTCTGCACATGGAGAAGCAGCCAATTTTTAGCCAATTCAGCAGCCAATTTTTAGGCTGCTGAAAGTGCACTAAATTTGTGCTCAAATTGTTTCAGTCATGTCATCTATCTATCCAGATAAATGGATAGCTAGATCCACTAAACGTCATTTAGTTTCATTGGCGCCCCCGGTAGCGCAATGGGTAAAAGCGCTGAGCTGCTGAACTTACTGACTGAAAGGTTGCAGGTTCAAATCTGGGGAGCGGGATGTGCCCCAGCATCTGCCAACCTACCAGTTCAAAAACATGCAAATGTGAGTAGATCAATAGGTACCGCTCCAGGATAAGGTAAGGTAACGGCACCCCATACAGTCACGCTAGCCACATGACCTTGGAGGTGTCTACAGACAACACCAGTTCTTCTGCTTAGAAATGGAGATAAGCACCAACCTACAGAGTCGGACACGACTAGACTTAATGTCAGGGGAATCTTTACCTTTACCTAAACATCATTTCAAGAATACAAGAGTATCTGGGTTCAACTAAAACACCACTGGATGTGTGTGTGTTAAAATATTATATCCGTATTGCAAAGGTTGATAGGTGATGTGATGTCACTAAATTGGCAGCTAGGTAAAGCATTAGCTGTTGCTAATGAAATGGCCCTCTGTGACATCACTGAGAAAGAAAGTTGACATGTATAAGAGGAAGGGAAGAAGGAAGGAAAGAGCCACAAAGACCCATGTTGCTATGGAGACATTGTGAGGTAGGCCCTCTCAAAGCTGGATAAGAGAGAAAGGAGAGGGGAGGGAGAAAGAAAAGTAAAAAAAGAGAAAAAGAAGGGAAAGAAAGGAAAGGAGACGGGAGAGAAGGAGGAAGGGGAAAAAAGAGGGGGAAAGTGAGGGAAGGGAAAGAAAAGGAAAAGAAGGGACAAAAGCATAGGGGCAGCAGCCCTGGACAATGTCTAGTATATACATTAGTAATTTAAACGTGTTTCTGTCAGACATTTGATGACAGTAACATATGATTGTGAATGTGTTGAGGATATGTCTTCTGTCCTTTGCACTTCTCTGTTCCCAGACAGCTGGTGTTTCAACATTTGATAGGCAGACAGAAGATCTCTGGTTGCAAAAGCAGAACTTCACACTTTCACCTTATTTATGTATTTATTTATTTATTTATTTACAGTATTTTTATTCCACCCTTCTGACCCCGAAGGGGACTCACAGCAGATCACAGAACACATATACAGCAAAGATTCAATGCCATTATACACTAACAAGACAGACAACTGTGCATAGATATATATAGGCTTTCCTATTTCGGCATCAGACCAAAGCATGATCCCTGGGGAAGGCAATGGCAAACCACCCCAGTATCCTTGCCAAGAAAACTAAATGGACCAGTACAACCAGAGATATGTCGGTATGCCATTGGAAGATGGGACTCCCAGGTCGGAAGATGGCCAAAATGCTACTTAATAACCAAAGAACCAGATTA